TATTGAAAAGACGACTTTTCAGACCCATGACAATCACTACGAATTCGTGGTGATGCCTTTTCGACCTTACCAATGCCCCAACCACTTTTCAGGCCGCCATGAATGATCTTTTTCGGCCATACCTACGGAAGTTTGTTATCATCTTCTTTAACGATATTCTGGTTTACAATAAAGGGAAGGCTGAACATGTTGAACATCTAATGGTGGTCTTTAATTGCTTACAAGCTCATCAATTTTATGCCAATTGAGGAAAGTGCTTGTTTGGGGTTAGCCGAATTGATTACTTGGGGCATATTGTCTCAGGCACAGGGGTTGAGCCGGATCCCTCCAAGATTCAAGCCATGACAAGATGGCCGACTCCAACCAATGTTCGCCAGTTGAGGGGATTTTTGGGTTTGATAAGGTATTATCGAGGGTTTGTGTGTGGGTATGCTCCCATTGCAGCACCGCTAACATCCCTCCTACAAAAAGATGAATTTTGTTGGACTATGGAAGCATAACAAGCATTTGACAACCTGAAGCGTGCTATGATTGAGGCACCTATACTTGCCTTGCCTAATTTTGTTGAGACTTTTGTGATTGAAATTGATGCCTCCAAGCAAGGTATTGGGGCAGTACTCATGTAGCACAAGCATCCCATTGCCTATTTTAGTAATAAGTTATCTTCGTGGATGCAACTGGCCTCTACGTATGCTAGGGAATTATGTGCTGTTACTGAAGTAGTTATGAGCTGGCGCCAATATTTGTTAGGCCACAAGTTTATCATATGTACCGATGTTAGAGTCATGAAAGTGACTCTATTTTGGTGATAAAAATAACCCATTTGTGATTAAATTGAAGTATATTGAGACAATTAAAGAATTTATGAATTTATTCACGAAAATCGCTTCCTAATATTTTTCTTATGAATTTAACGTGTTTGGAATGATTTTGGAAAATATATGAGTTGATATGAGGTTGTGGTTTATGGATTAAGGGTGATTTTGTCTCATTTATGCTGTTTAGGGGGTAAAATGTCATGTTTTAAGGGGCTGATTTTGTCACTTTTTAATTGTGCAGGGACTAAACTGAAATTTTGCAATATGTGGTATAAAAGAAAAACTGCAGATCGCGTCAAGGGGGGGACTGTTCATCTTCACTTTTCCGGCGACGCTTCATCTTCCATTCCGGCGACCTCCGGCGACGCTTCATCTTCCTCGACCCCAGATCATCATCCCGTCAAAGCCACGGCAAACCACCACGGCAAACCACCACCGAGAACCACCACGCCGCGACGCTTCGTCTTCCACCGCGACTCTTCGTCTTCCCGGCCAGTTTTGGCCATTTTCCGGTGACGTTCCAGCTCCCCAAGGGTAGATCTCACTTCCCCACAGCCGGATCTACACTTCCCTAGCTTCAGCCGCCGCGAAAACCGCCGGAATCCGTGATTTAGCCGCCGCGACTCTTCATCTTCCAGGCCAGATCCTGCTCATTTCCGACGACTTCTCACCTCCCCAGGACCTGATCTGAACTCCCCATCACCAGAGCTTTCCATCGGTACCTTCGGATCCCATTTCCGCCACCGTTTTCCGGAGACCCGCCGGAAAATTAACGTTTTCCGGCGAACCGCGGCTGTTCGTATTCCGGGCTGTCCGTTGGTCGTTTTCGGCCCTTCTTCGCATCATATCGCTGTCGGTTACCTCCCCTTCGCCATGGTCAGCTCCGTTTCCACCGTTTCGGCCTCCGTCATCACCACCATGAGCGGCTAAGCTCCCGGTTGTCTGTTACGGCATAGGCGAGATCGGGATTGACTCCACGACTCTCCTCATCAGCTCTCGACTAGTTGGATGAGCCCGATTATAGGACATTTGGTAGTATTGTGCTTCGGATTATATTTGTTTTCATTTCATGATTGATTTCGATACTTTAATATGATTTGAGCATAACTTGTGATGAATATTGTTGTCCATTATGATTTAATGTTTTCATAGAACTTGCTGAATGATAAACGTTGGTTTGGAATAATTAAATGATGAATATTGCTTTTCATTACTTCGCATCGATTGTAATTGAGTTGTGTTCGGATTTAATTTAATTTCTACTATTGTTGCGTTTATTGTGAAGTTGGTTGATTGGATATTACGTGTTGACAAATTGTATTTGTTAATCGCGTACCAACTAGTGGTATTGCGTTGTAGCGTTTATCGACGTTCAATGATAGTCTTTAACCAATCGAACTTGAGTGATCGGGTGAGACAAGATAGATTATACCTACAGTGTCAGGAAACCATTTCATTGATTTACCTTGCCTTGTAGGTTTAGGGGATCGTAGAGGGTGGAGGAGAATTGTGTGAGTCGGTCTCGTGTTGAACCAAAACCGTAACGGCAACATTTTTATTATAAAGTCTTTATTTGTTTTAATTTCACTATTTCATTATTTGCATTTAGTCTATTTAGTTTCATCAATCATTTTGCCAATTTCATTTCCGCTACTTAAAATATATTAGGTTGTTAGTCTTGCTCCCTGTGGATTCGATCCTGCTTACTGCTACTACGGTATTTAGGTTTAATTTTTAGACTGTGACGGTCGGTCTAACAACCGATCAGCAAAGCCTCCTCAACCTCCTTACGTAGGTAGTTCAAACCCCTGAACAACAAACTTATTTAGTTAAATTATTGGGTTTTGATTTTGTAGTGAGTTATAAGTGGGGAAAGGACAACATCGCAGCCGATGCCTTTTCGCGCCAATTTGTTGATGAACTACCTCCAGTTGAGCAGTCTTTTTTAGCCTTGTCAGTTCCTACTTTTGAAATTTTACAAAACATCCACGACAGTCTAGCGACAGATGTTCATTGTGAGGCTTTACTGGCCAACTTTCACAGTAGCTCCACATGGCCTCCTGGTTATAGTATTCGTGATGGTTTATTGTTTTATCATGGTCGTGTGGTGGTTCCAGCAGTGGGATCTTTGAGTCAGCAACTTCTCGTGGAGTTTCATGCCACACCCTTGGGCGGTCATGGTGGTTATAAAAAAACTCTGAGTAAACTGGCTTTAAACTTTTATTGGCGTAATAAGGGCAAATATGTTAAGGATTTCATTCAAGGGTGTCATGTGTGTAACAGGCCAAATACCAAGCTCGCTCTCTTGGGGGCCTTCTGCAACCCTTGCTTATACCAGCTCAGATTTGGGAGGAGGTAGCTCTCGATTTTATCACAGGGTTGCCTTTGGCATCAGGGTTTTCGGTCATCATGGGGGTGGTAGATCGCTTGACCAAATATGCGCATTTTGGACCCCTTCTCCTAGGTTTACAGTAGCCAAAATTGATGCTTTTGTTTGTTCATTTAGTCTATAAAATCCATAGCTTACCTTAGACAATTCTCAATGATCGGGACCTTGTCTTTTTGAGCAACTTTTGGCAGGAATTGTTTCAGCTCAGTGGCACCACCCTCCTCCACAGTTCAGCTTATCATCCGCAAACGAACGGCTAAACAGAGGTAACAAATCGGTTCCTTGAGCAATACTTGCGTTGCTTTGTGATGGACCAACATGATAAGTGGTCGGATTTCCTTCCCTGGGCAGAATTCTACTATAACACTTCATTCCACACTTCAACCGAAACCACACCTTTTACTTTAGTGTATGGCAGGGAGCCTCCGGTGATCCGACCTTATGGGTTTGGTGAATCAAATGTGGATGCAGTAGACTTTGAACTTAGCTCTCGTGACCACATTTTGAAAGAGTTAAATGAAAACTTGGGTCGCGCTCAGCAACGTATGGTTAGCCAAGCTGACAAACGCCGACGACCTGTGGAATTCGAAGTAGGTCAGCAGGTGTACCTGAAATTATAGCCTTATCATCAATTGTCGGTGAGTGGGCATACTTATTCCAAGCTCTGGCGATGATACTATGGACCCTTTGCAATTTTGCAGTGGTTTGGCAAAGTTGCTTACAAGTTGGCCTTTCCGGAAGGGTCCAAAATACACCCCATATTTCATGTGTCTTTGCTGAAACCGTGTTCGGCTTTTCTGATAGTCACACCCTTACAATTACCTCCTTTGGTCTACCGAGGTCAACCACACATCACTCCCCTTGTTGTGCTTGGCCGCCGAATTGTGCCGCATGAGGGAGTTGATGTGCCGCAACTGTTAGTTCAATGGCACGGCTTACCACTAGAGGGCACCTCTTGGGAGGATGGTACGACATTCGAGGCCATCTACGAGAAGTTGTCTCACAACCTTGAGGACAAGGTTGAAGTGGAATAGAGGAGTATTGATAAGAATCCAGCTACATGAGAGGCTAGGGAGGATGGAGTAGTAGGAAGATATCCTACAAGGACTCGACAAGCTCCTGCATGGGCAAAGGATTATCGCATTGGGCGTTGAGCAGCAGAGTTATTTTATGTTATTGTCATTAATTGTTATTGTCATTAGTTTTGGTTAATTGATGTTATAATTCCTTATGTTGGGCATTAGTTGGATTATTAAGACTTTATTATTTTAGGGTTATTTATAGCTTCATCATAAAAAGAAAGGCATGCAAGTTTTTCTGCAACTCTTCTCTCTCGCTGCTCTATGTCTCTCTCAATTGCTTTGGAGGTACTACTCCCTCATATAAGAGTAGATTATCCCATCATGATACATTAGATGAATCGTTTGAGACTTTTGAGTCTTTCAATATCAATAGGTTGATTGATTGTTTCGCTTTTCTATCCTCTAAAAAGAGAAAAGATCTTCGAGAGTTTTTTTCTCAATTCAAAAGCGAGTATTCCAATTCAGCCAATAAATAAAAAATGTATCATGCCTGAATCTAACTAGGTCCTTGGTGGTGGAGGAATTGGCTGAGAAAAAAGAGGGATTCTAGATGTAAGATATCTAATGAAACCGTTGGTGGAATTGAAACCTTATTCAAAGAGAAAGGTATCAAATGTCTGGAATTAAATTAATGATGAACAAGATGAATTTTATTCATATGTGAATACATTTTCAAGTCTACAAAAATAAGATCTATACAGCAATGGCGTATATATTTGTGTGCTATTTTGCCTGAGATTTGTAAGAGTATGAGCATGCTGCGTTCATCTAATTACATTACTACGCCGCTTTGTCTGGAGAGCTGTTGACATAACGCGCAGCCTTTTTGTTATCTCTGTAAATGATGGCCTTGCCGAAGGGTCGAAAGACCAGCATTCTTCCAATAACCTTTTCCATTCTGGATCACAACGTTCCGGTAGAGGAGGCCTGAGTGTGTTGCTTACGATCCCGCCTTCACAAAGAGTTCACATAGCATCAAAATTTTCCTCAGATTTGTAACAGAATCGAGATAAAAGAATAACTATAGAAAGTAAATTCAAAAAGCATATCAAACCAAGCTCTTTAAATAATGAAGACAAAGTTCAAGATACAAGGATATGCACAAATGTAATTATCATGTTGGAAGCTTGAATTTTCAGATGTAAATGTAATTATGTACAAGAAAAAGATATGTTAGATTTGGCATGGTTATGAAAAAAATGTTGTCAATTTATTTCATTTTATATTTCTATTAGGATCAAACATAACATTCTCGGAAATTTGTGATCATTTCGTCAGATGTCTTGCAGTGAACAGTTAAAAGTATTCAAATGGATAAACTTTTAGTTTAACACCTTCACTTACCAAGGTGCTAAATGTAGCTCTCAAAACTATGAAGAAAAAGAATTGACAAAATTAATGTTGTTCTTCGCCAAACTAACGTATAAGAATATACGCACACTCCTATCTAAACGATATTCAATTGCTACAGTAATTTATAAAATATACTTCATATATCATCAAATGCAGGACGGACTATCTTGAGAAGATTTCGTTACGCACAAACGTGATGGAAAGAAGGTAAAAATGTTTAAACAATTAATTAGAAGATGTTACCTATAATAGCACCACAATGCATGTTGGCATATGGCTCTTCTCCAGTGAGGAGCTCCCACATTGCAATACCAAATGAGAAAACATCAACCTGGCGAAGAGAATTAAAAAAAAAAAAAAAAGAGAAGACATTAATACTATATTCTTTACAATGTTACTGGTTTCATTTTTAAATATATTCAAATTCAAAAGATATTATTTGAAGCCTTTATCCTAAGATGCTCATTAACCTTTTCAGAAACCCTGCTGCTGCTTCCATTCAATAATTCTGGTGCCATCCACGGAAGAGTTCCACGCACACCGCCAGACACAAGTGTATTGCGTTTAATTCGTGACAACCCAAAATCTCCAACCTGCAAAGCAGATTGGTGAATTATACTAACAAATATTATTAACAAACAAATGAAAAAGTCTTAAGACATCATTAACTAGCAACAAGAGAAAAATGTAAAAAGCTAGAGTATTTTCATGCATTGAAACATAATAAATTACAACTGCAGTAAAAGAAAAGAAATTTTATTCCCGCTACCTTGCAAATGGGTCGTTGGGGATCCCTCAAATTGACAAGCAAATTGTCACACTTCAAATCAAAATGAACAATATTTTTAAAATGCAGATATTCCATGCCAAAAGCTGCATCCATGGCGATCATAAGCTTTTTGCGGCGATCAAGTGATCTGTAGGAAAAGTTCTAAAGATTTCATGAATTCATTCCTTGTTAGAAGATAATAAGGAACATAATGCTGATGGATCTACTCACCTATCTTTCCTTAGTAGGACATGCCTCAATGATCCATTGACCATATATTCAGTTACGGTTGCCATTGTTCCACCAGGTCCATCGGGGACAACACCATAGAATGCTACCACATTTGGATGGTGAAGATTTGACAGGATCTGTGTCTCTCTCCAGAAGTCTTTTGTCTGGATAATCAACAGGATCAGATTCTCATTTCGAAAGATGAGAACATAAAATCTCAAAAAGGTAGAATATGTAACCTTGGGGATTTAAACAAGACTAAAGGTAGGATAATTATATCTAGAAACCTTGTCAATAAATGTATGCTCCAAGTGATTAAAAACTATTCCATCACCGATTATGAGTGATACCCATTTTCTTCCATATAATTTCATTTTTTAGAAAATTTTGGAGCGTCTACATTCTAATAAACTGAATCAATATGATCAACATAACAAGAATAATCTGAACAGAAAGAAAAAAGAGATTTCAGAGCTTATATGACCAATGATTCTGGAGACCCACCAACCGGTCTCGTTCCGATGATCTGCCTGAAAAACAACTCTTTTTTATTCTCTTTATAGCAACATCTGTTCCCCTCCACTTCCCATGGTAAACAGTTCCGTATGTTCCAGAACCTAACTCTTGCAATTCTTCAAGGTCATCATTCTTAATAATCTGTGTATGTGATCATCGAGTTAGTTAGACATAGACTTCGATAAAAAAATTATGCATAAATTTGTTAAGGTGGTTGTTATCAACCTGCAAACCATATATGTCTGCTTCTAATTCAGCCATTGCAGCATTGCTAAATACTTTTGCTTCCTATGCAAGATAAGTACAAGCTCAAACCAATAAGCAAAAACAATATCACAATTTAAGAGAAAAACCAAGTTCAATAGGGAAATGTCAAGATACTACCTCACCGTCAGATTGATTCATATTCTCTGCATCTGTTTCTCTTTGGGATGGATATTCATCACTGCCGTTATGCTGTACATGTGGTACTACTACCAGGGAGGAGGGAATGTCTGGAGGTGTACTATCAGTTACATCTTTCCCTATAACCCCTGACTTGAGCATCTTGTCTTCATGATCATTTTCTGAGGCTTGTGATTGGGCACATATACGATCTTCAGACTTCTGATCCTTTCCTGATGGCATCCTAATGCGTATTTTTCCAATTCTATGGTGGGGAGAATTTGTAGCTTCTTCATTGTAGATAGAATCCTCTTTACTTGAAGCATAACTTGTTGTCAATTTCTGAAGAAAGAATACAGAAATGGCTCATACTTTGGAGCATTTAAACCAATATCAAAACAAAAAAGGAAATGTACATACACATCTTGGGATTCTACGTTCTTGATTAGCAGCTCCTTTAGATGATATAGAGGGTAGTCCGGGGAATCCAAGGGAATCTGGTTGACTTGTCTCAGGCATAGCACATTTTTGATTGCTTGCAGCATTTTGTCTCTTAACATGAGACTTAGGTACATTTGTGTCTAATTGACAGCCACCAAGGTTCTCCTTTGTGGTACCTGCAGAATTTTCTTTATGAATAACTGGTAAAGAGAATAGCGAGCTCCCAGAGTCTTGAGAATCTTGCAGGGGAATATGAATGCTGGGTTGGTTGTTTATCGTATATTCCATGGCATTACCATATTGCATAACTTTAACACTTCCTTCATGGTGTTTTCTATCTGAAACAGAAGAAGCAGGATTCCAGTCCATGCAATTGAACTCTGGACTCCATTCAAAATTATTTTTGCATGGTTCTGGTGTCTTCATAATGCACTGATTCTTATATTTGGTACCTTGGTTTTTTTCATCAATCACCTCTTGCCATTGCATTGGCCACTCTTTTGAAGAACTTAACATTCCTACCATAGGTGATTTCTCTCTTCCAATAGTCCAGGGGCTTTGAGGTATAGTTGGCTCTCTAAAGCTGTAAATAGAACTCTCATATTGTTCATGTAACCCTGTGTCAGAAAGTGACCTTTCCTTAAGTGCAGGTCCTTCAGAGTTCTTATCTCTTTGGCTGTGTGCCGTATAATGCATAGTATCTCTACTGGGGCCATGATTTTGAAAATGCATTTCATGGCTTCTGTTTGTGTGCTCAGTTTCTACCATATTTTTGTTTTGCTGATGGTTATTCTTCAATTGCACATGGGCATAAGAAAGATTATCATAGTGGCTAATGGGATTTACACAAGAAAATTTGTCCACGGCTAAAGGATTGGCACTTCCATTGACAACAGCACATGGTTGATCCGCATTAATTTGCGCATTAGAGCTCATAGTATCACGATGCTGAACATTACGATTAAAAAACGTGCCTCCAAAATTCGAGGAATTAGAACTATAATCCTTATTCTCACAAGTCTGAATAGATGTAGGGGAGTCTCTATAAAAACCTACACTATGATCTGAAGCAGTTCCCAAGGCGGTTGCTTGACTTGCCAAACTCTGCCCACTAGAATTCCTTCGAGAAGTCACACTTAGCATGCCATTTACGGCAAAAACATACTGATAATCAGGATCACTCTGCTGGGTGTCCCTGCCTTCCAAAGAACTTGGACTCTCCGGTTCAGCTAGAGGTACAAGAAATATTCGCAGTCTATGAGGGCCACCAATTCTTTCCAATTCTTGATGTTCCTCTATCATATGATGAAGATCCTCATCCGAACAAACAGATATAAGTGCATCAAGATCCTCTCCTGGGAGCTGATACTTGATCGTATGAGGTTGGTTACAAATTGCTGAAGTCTTCTTTACGAGTTCCACCCAAGTGAGGTTTCTCCTGATGGATATAATCCGTGTCTCTCCACCCACATACCTAAGCTTCGAATCATTTGGCCTAGGTAATATTCTCCCGCCAAAGCTACAAAGGAACTTTATCTTTTGACTAAGAGCACTCTCCATAAACACTGGTCCATAATAATGGTATGACAGAGGAGAGCCCACTATATAATGTGGGGAAACAGTTGGTTCTGTGGTAACTTGATCAGAATAAATTTCATCAGAAAACTTACCTGAATTTTGTCCAATAGCATCATATTGCCACGGATATCTGCTTATATTATCATTATAAGCATTATTTTCTATTTCAGCTGCACATCCTGTAGCAGGAACCATATCTGAGACATCTGCATTGCATTCATAACTCTTTCTCCTTGATCCGTGAATGCCATTAAGATCCCTGTAAACTGCCTGATTGTTCTGATTGAAATTAAACCCCATTTGGGTTGGATGGCGATGACCTCCATCATTCATTACTGTTATTCTTCTTTGAGCGGTGCGGTCCCTCAAAAACTCAGAAGAAAATTCCTCACCTGTCTGTGCACATATGTCATCTATATTTCTTTCCGCAGCAACTCGGTTACTTGACAAAACATTTTTTTTATATCTGTATAACTGCTTACCTGCAGTGCCTGAAGTCTCACTTCTCATGGCATCTAAAGAATTATTAAACCCAAGACAGCCAATTAGAAATGTCACGAAATCCACCACTCTTGGGGATGCCGCCAGCGCCGATTACCTTATTTGCAGCTGCATATCCACAACCCACTGAAATGTGGGGCCTTCCTTTAGTTTTGTCAAAGATACTTGTGAAAATGCATCTATAAAATTTAATACACAAGCCTATATTCAAACTCAAAACCAAAAGTTTCCCATCAACTAATTGTTGGCATCAACTCTATAATTTTGCAATACAACTTGATATGCACCATTAAGAATAGTAAACATTTTACATACAATGCAGTTCTTTTATTTGGGTAATTTACAAATTCTCCCAATCCTCACAAAAGAGTCTTCATCAATTATGTGCAACCAACAACAAGAAGAAAGTTGTTTACAAATTAAAATGTATCTACCCACAAACACAAAAAGAAGGGGGAAAAAAAAATTCCTTTTCTATGTTCAATCCACCTTTATTTTACAGGATGAATTCATCAAAATTCCTATTGGGAACATAAAAAGTTGATCAATTGTTCAATAAATTTCCTAAAATATGCCAATCAATCAATGATCCCAGAAGAAAAAAACAAAAACAAAGAGAACTAACCTAATGAACCACCATTGTTAAGGGATAGCATCATGAAAATACATAAAAAAAAAAAAAAAAAAAAAAAAGAGTATCTATTGAAATAAAATAAGCAGTTCAAACTAATACAAGCATTGTCATATTGAATACTGCATTCAACTGAAAAGGAAAGAGGAGGTAAATTTAATAAACAAAGTCAAGAGAAAGAATGGTGAAAGGGGTACCTGTTTGTTTGTTGAAATTTGGTTTTGAAAAATATGTAAAACAGTTTGAGTTTTAAGTTATTTGGATAAAAGCAAAGCTAACCAAAAGGTAAAAAATGGTGATTAAATTGAAAATGGGTTTTGTTTTGTGAGGTTTGTAAAGAGAGAGAAAAATGGGCGAAGGACAGGAAGAGAGAGAGAGGGAGACATCGCTTAAAATAACGCGGGCCTAACCGCAAACTAACTTATGAATTTTTCAGTATCGGACGCACTCTAAATAATAATTATTTTTCATATTAACAAGTAATTTTATTATTTCTGCTTCTTCCTAGCTTATACGGTTGTTCAAGCAATGGGGCCTCACATCAACCTTTTTTTTTTTTTTTTTTTTTTTCAAGGACCACGACCCAATATGCAAAATTTGATAAAGGAAATGTCTTTTGAACCCAATAAGTATCGTCTTTTATTTACATCATAGTAAAATTGTAAATAAGGATAAAATAATAAATTTATAAATATATTAACCATAATATTGAAATTCAAACTTGTTTTCATAAAATTACATGACAATGTGTTTATGTTTTTCGAAAACTGAATGAAACTGCTTAAAAAGTTAAAATTGAACAGAATCAATCATATTTAAACCAAGTCAATCGGTCTAAGAAAAAGATTAGAAGTCGAGCACACTCTAGAGACAGTGATGGAGCCACTATAGGACTAGGATAGGCTTATGCCCTTCCTGAACTTTTAATTTATTTTTTAAGTTATACTTTAAAGTTCTTCAATTTATATATGAAGTAATGAAAATATAAATATGAAGTAAAAAAGCCAGAAATTGCTAAATTTAATTAAAATTTTACTTTAAAAAAAAAATGGATTTTGTGATTAATTTTGTAGGTGCAAATTAGTAATCATTTCCTTTAATTAATTTGGTTTTACAAATAAAATAAAACAAAATAACATAAGGACACTCATCACAAAGAATTTATCAAACAAAAATGCATTTAATTTAATATCAACAATCATGGTGTAGGTTCTTGCATAAATGATGTTATCTTTAGTTTAAGATCATCAAGTGATCATACAAGATTTAAGATTTGTTTCTTATTCTCTCTCTGTTTTCCTTATTCTTTTTCCAAATTATATACGGAAAGGATGTTCTACTTCTGTGTGTGTTTTCCATATTCTATTTACTAATTTTATTTTATTTGTAAGTTAAATTATTAGACATTCATTTCATATAAAGTATATATCATTTGAGTTTGAAAGTTTTAAATGATATTATTTTTGGATAATTTTTGCCCTTCCTCAAGCCAATTCTTGGCTGCGCCACTGTCTAAACTCTCTAGAGATGTGATTTAAAACAAGTTGGTTTCTCTTTCTTAGTTGCTTATGATAAAAATTAGAGATTTAGCCCCTGTTTGTTACACTATTCTGGATCATTATTCTGCTATCCTATTTGGATTAAAAAATAGGATATGTGTTTGTTTATTTATTGAACCAATCCAATCTAAAAATTAATCTAACTTAAATAAGATTTTTTGCCTAAAAATGAAAAGAAGGCGGGACTTGTTTTTAGATTATCCAATTCTATTCAACTGAAAACATTTTTCTTTCTCTTGTTCTCATTTTTCTGTCCTTCCAATATGAAAATTAGTCCACTCAAGACCACCAGTGTTTGCCAGCAACCACTGTCGGCCACCGCCACTATCACCGGAGGTCGACGTGGCCGAATTTGGCTGGTCGTGCATTGATTTGGCCATTTCCAACTAGATCTATGACCAAAGATCTGGTCGTTGATGGCGAGGTTTTGGTCGAGATTTGGCCTTTAACAATGGCCAAATTATGGCAGTTAACGATAACTAGAGAGATCTAGCCATCAACGGCCACATATCTAGACATCAATAGCCAAAAAATCTGGCTATCAACTGCAGTTTCTGGCCATAGATCTGGCAATTTCTGGCTAGATCTATGGTGGATCTGGTTGAAAACAGTCATAATGGTGTACGACCGGCCAGATCCAATTGGTCGTGCACCGTTTCGATGACTTTCGGTTGCCGTCCGACAGTGGTGGCCGGTGGCCGGTTGTCCTCTTAAGTGACTAGGGGGCTTTAGTTAATTTTCAAGCTTTTATTGTGGGGGTGTTTAACTAAATTAACAAATGTAGAGGGCTAAAAAAATAATCTAAATATTTTCAGAAAATGTACCAATTAAACAACTATTCTCTCTTAAAAACCTTTTTTAAAAAAATGTTCCAAACAACTATTCAGCATTTTATCAAACTCTATTATAATTTTCAAATATTTTACCAAACATATTTTCATATTCAAATCCAATTCGATTTGATTCAACTAAATTCAAATTAAAACACTTTTTTAGAATAATATTTTTTTTTAAAAGTGTAACAAACAAGCCTTTAATATGACTGAATTTGTAACAGCGGGATGACATCAAGCAGCGGAGTGCCAGTGGTACATTAGGAAATGGAGCAATGGAAGCAATATTAGGTATGAATAAAGATAGCTTGACAAATGCATCTCACAACCTTCTATCACAAACCACACACGTGGCAGTTGAGTTGGCAACTCTCACCAAAACGGCCACGAAATGATTTCGACTAGACCTAATAAATAGTCGTTCCTTCATAGGGAACGACCGTTCCTTGGATGGAACGGCCGCTCCATGAGATGGAACGATGGAACACCCATTCTATAATTCATGGAACAAGTGTTCCATCTTATGGGTACCAATTCCATAAAGATGGAACGGGTGTTCCATCTTATGGAACACTCATTCCATCTTAAGGAACGGTCGTTCCCTATGAAGGAACAGTCATTCCTTATGAACGAACTGCCTTTACTCTTTAAGGAATGACCGTTCATGTCTAGTAAAAGTCGTGATTTTGACGTGGTAAAGCCAAATAAGTGCAACGTCGGCGTTTGTGAGAGAAAGTTATAAGATTCATTTGTCAACGTATTATTACTCTATTAAATAGTGAAGAGGTGGCAACAGATACAACTTGCAGTATTGACTTGTTTGTTTAGTTTAGTTTAGTCTAGGGTTTCTTTTTGACTTTTATTTCTTTTTGTTAGGTTAAATAAGTGCATTATAACAATGCAATATAATAAATGATGTATCTAATAATACACAACCATATGTATTTTTAATACAAAATTATAAATTTATCGGTTTGGGTCAGTTTTGTCTAATTTTCCTTTAAGTCCTAGTACCAACCTAATCAATGTAGATTCTCTTTGATAGTAAGGTTATTATCAAATTGAATAACTGATCCGAATTGGCCAACTCAAGTTGAGTTCATTGATTTGAATTGGGTATCGGTTATTGGTCTAATATATATGTTGAATGTTCACCTACTGCCTTAAACTTTTTGATGGGATGACAACTTAACATGGTACCAAAGCTAAATGCCTCAATTTTAAATCCCCACATAAAAATGGGATAAAGAAAAAAAAAAAAAAAAACTAAGTTTAATGTGAAGGGGCCTATTGGTCTAATATATGTATGAGCCCTCACCTATTAGCTTAACCTTTTAGATGGGACAACAACTTAACATCAGTAAAAATTCCCAACCTTAGGTTTTAGGCAAGCAACCATATGAAGGTGGATTTGTAATTTTCAGGTTATGAGATTTTTTTGCTAACCATATTAGTCTTAAATCCCTACATAAGTGATACTAAATAGACTAATGAAAACAAACCTCCCAACCTTAGGTTTTAGGCAAGTAAACATTTAAGAAGGAGTGGAATAAACATATATGAAGGTGGATTTATAATTTTCAAGTTATGAGATTTTTTTGCTAACCATGTTAGTCATAAATCCCTGCATTAGTGATAATAATCAAATGGACAAATGAAAACAAACCACGTACACACACAAAGATTTATAGTGGTTCAATCTCAATAAGAAAATATGTCTATTTCGTTAGAATTTCACTATAAAAAAGAAGAATATTATAAGATTTTCTTGAACTTCTTTAATTTGCTTACCACTCTCTCTTTGTGGCTACACACTCTCTTTAGGATTTCAGCACCCTTTTATAGTGTCGAGGACATCTGACAATTCTTCTAATGTGATTGTAGATAGTAAAATCTACAGTTACAGGAGAAGGTTTAATCCTGTGAGGTTGAGGCCACTAACAATCCGTTGAACCTGCCCACAAAGAAAACAAGCGCAAAGCTTAC